TGGGTGGAGAAGGGGAGGTGGTGGGTTGAACGCAGCTGGGAACCGGCTGACCGGTTGGGTGTGGATCCTTTTATGCTGAGCTTGATTGATGATTGGACGCGCCGGGTGAGGTCCAGCGCTGAGGGCGGAGACGAGCATGACGAACGGAGGGCGCGGAGTCTTCCAGCTTGAACTTTCGCTATCAGCTCCATATTAAAAGAACAATTTTATGAAGGTATTTAAATTAATTAATCAGCTCAAAATTAAAAAGTTCTTAAACAGGAAACGAATACATAAAAAGATAAACAAATAGATTAAGATAAAATACAATTAAAACATTTGTTGGTTTTACTGTAACGCATTACTGAGTGTCCTGAGAAGCCAGAGGCGGTCCTGGCCTGTTTGACTCCCTGGGCGAACCGCCTTGCCCCTCCTCAATAAAGTTGTTGACCAGTGAAAAGCCGTGTAAATCTGAAGTCATTTCACTTTATTCCATGAAAATGTGATTTTAAATTTAAAAAGTGGATTTTAGGTTTGCTTTTAAAATGTTCCCTCTCTCTCCTGCTGGGGTTCTAACCATAATCATCATTCACAAATGAAAGATGATTACTAAGGAATGTTTGGGCTTTTTTTTTCTTCTTCCTTTTTTTCATATGTTTATCCATTTTTTCACAGTTGGATATTGATGTAGCCAGAGCTGAGTAAGTATTTTATATTTAAACCAGACAGAAGTATATTTGTCCATTTAGTAAATAATTATATGTGGACTACTGACTCAGTTGTTGGCTATTAACTTAATAATTTAATTAGATTGATAATCATTGAGATTTTATTTTGAAAAAATACGTCTACTTCCGGTACGATTGTGTTTAAGTAGTACTGCTTCAAGGCACCAAGCAGAACCTTGCACAGTTGGTACCGCCCTCTAAGTTATTCTAGTACTCTCATTGGCTCTCAACTTCCATATTGTTAACAAAGCGAGTCGTTGATTGGTTCTTACCAGACATCAGTCATCGCCCAGCTGTGGGCGAAGACTGTGGGGCAAAGCAGGCTAAAGTTCACCAAAGTTCAACAGTTTTCAAGGAAACCAGTTCTCACGCAAGGATTGGCTTATCTCACGCACCTCACGTAATGCGTGTTGAGTTACCCGCTGGGTGCTGCCAGAGGGCCTGCTTTAATGTGGATTTCCTCTGGACATTAGCGGCTTCCAAACTGTTAACAGCAGAGCTTCCTGTCCAACTGACCAGCTTTGATTTAACTACTGGAAGTCTCCGGCGGGAAACACGCGCCCAGAAACTCAAAGCTGGTCTATATTACAAAGATTCTCTACATTGTAGCAGAAGAAAAAAATCGACCAGACTTAACTAAAATACTGACAACAGCCACATGGATGTAAGTAAGGTTGTAGAGGAATACAGCATCATCTTTTTAATATATTTGAGCAAATTTATTCAAAATAACCTGAACTAAAAACAAAAAAGTCACAATGAATGAAATCAGGAATGAAGACTCGTCCTTTGTGTTGCCCAGCTTTGTTTCGAGCAAAGGTTTTTGAGATTTTTAAGCAAATTGGAATGATTTTCATATCTTCTGAACTACTGCTTTGAATTTAACTGGTTTTAAAGAAAACAAATGTGAGAACCTTGAAGAGTAGATGTGATTTTACTATTTTAGCCAGAAAAATCGAGGCTATATTGAACCCAACTGAATTAGCTTGATTTGACCGAGTTCAGGAGTCAACGAGGTGAGGAAGAACTTTTATCCTAATATTACTTTATTAACAGGTGTTTCTGTTGCTGCGTCTTTAGTTATAAATGTGTTGTAATGTTTTATTTTTATCATAGCCCCCCGCGACTAAAGAATTTTAATTTTGACACAAACTTTCGGATTTACAATATAATTGTAATTAATCTATTGAAGAAGTTATGGGTTTGATTTAAAAGGAGAGTTTATGTAATAGAAAAAGTAAATATAAAGTAAAGTTGTGGCTTCAGCAGGATGAGCGGCGTCGGGCCCAAGTCGTTGTTCTTCTTCGGACTTCCGGATCTGACCCAGTTGGTCTGCGTCACGCTGAGTCCGCTGGAGGAAGAGCAGCAGGAGCCCAGGACCAATCAGATCAAGACCTGCAGGTAAACACCTGAACCATCACCTGCTTACAGCAGAGACACGTGAAGCTGAGGATTCGCTCTGACATGTCCGCCATGTTGTCCGCCATGTTGTCTCCACAGACAGCTGGTGCTGCTGTACTCGGACATCCTGGCCTGTCCTGCTCTGGACTCCATCACTGACGTCACCGCGGTCATGTCTGTAAGACTCACTGCAACGTTTATTGGCATTAATGAGCAGCATTATAGTGCGAAACGTTATGGCAGAAAATGGATGGAAGTTTGGTAACTTCCTCATTCAGATCGGACATAATTTGGTCTAAATATAAATATAAATCATTTGAGCTGAATATTGAGGCTGAATAGCATAAAAAATGTACAACGAAAATAATGATGATAGTAAAAAATATAATAATGATTATAACTAAATAACTTCCATAATAAAACTACAACTAATAAAAAAAATTAAAAATCGGATAAAGGCAAGGCAAGTTTATTTATATAGCACTTTAAAACAGTACCACTGACCAAAGTGCTGTACAATCACAAGATTAAACAAATAAAAATCAAAATTAAAACACATCAAAACCAACAATGCAGTGACGTAAAACACTCTATATAATACATAAACATACCCAGATTAATACAGAAAAGCAGCATCTCAAACTGAATCAAAGGCCAACCGAAAAAGGTAAGTCTTAAGAGCAGATTTAAAAATTGCTAAAGAGGGGGAATAAAAATAAAGATTTAATAAATTTAAAAGATTTTATAATACTAGTAAATAATGATAATAAATATATGTATATCATAGATAATGTGTAGGTAATAGACTAAGGATAATTATTATGTAAAAAGCTAAAATAAATCAGATGAATAAAGATGTAAACTTTAGGCCGTGTTCTGCTCTCAGCTGCAGCAGGAAGCTTCCTGTTCCACAGATCTGGAGACTGAGACATTGTGAGGCTGACAGGAACATGAATGATTGCCGTGGAAACGTTGCACGCCACCCCGTCTGCTCACACGCTACCTGCATGCACCGCTGCAGCAGCTGCAGCTCGTCCCTCTGTGACTGAAAACAGACAACGATTCTAGAAATCATGTGACTGAACTGATTCAAAATGATTAGGGAAAGCTCACATTTTAAAGCCTTTGTTTCTCCTTTTTAACTTTGTAAAAAGTTAAACCAGCTGCTGATGAAGGGAAACCCAAACTAACTGAACAAACTGCCTGCAGCAGAGAGCAGCAGCCTGACCCGTTCAGTCCGGTTGGTTCTGTTCTCATCAGAGGCAGTCAGTGAAAGTTCTGCAGGAAACCGGGATGGAGTGAAGAGGAGCGACCTTCAGAGTGACCCTGCTGAAGGTCACTGCTGGACATGTTGGCTCAGTGTGAAGCTTTTTGTCCTCCCTGTGTTCACCTTCTGATGCAGGGAGGACATGTTTGGGACGCTTCAGACCTGCATGTTGCCGCTCCATGTTGCCGCTCCATGTTGCCGCTCCATGTTGCCGCTCCATGTTGCCGCTCCATGTTGCCGTGTTGCTTGTTGACCTGTGTCTCCCTGTCAGGTCCACTTCCTGCAGCGCGGCGTCCTTCAGGCCTTTGCGATCAGAAACCGTCTTCTGGTGAGACCAGGCTGCTGTAGTTACCGTCTGCAGCCAGCAGGGGTCAGCTGACTGTATGTTTATCTGTGTGTTTATCTGGGTATGTGTGTGTGTGTGTGTGTGTGTGTGTGTGTGTGTGTGGGTGTGTGTGTGTGTGTGTGCAGCTGGGCGGTCTTCACACGCCGTTTCCAGGCGACCTGCAGTGCTGCCTCTCTTACTCTCTGATCAGCCGTTTGGCTCCCAGCTGGAACAAAGCAGGACTTTACCTGATCTCAGGTAGGCAGAGCAAGCCACGCCCCCTCAGGGTTCAACCAATCAGCTTCAGCTTTGAAGCCTGGAGGATGAAGCCACATGTCATGACTTCATGGTTCATATCCATATGAATCAGTTCACTGCCAGAGGAGCAGAGAATATTTATTGGCTTATTGAAATAGAAAATTTATTTTGGTAAATATTTATTCATATCAAGTTTATTTCTTGACAAAAATTCATTTATTTAAATAAATAAATATAAATAGATTTATTTCTTAAAAAAATAAATATATCTATTTAAATGACACATTTATTTGTATCAAAATAAATACATAAATAGGTTCATTTTTCTCAATAAAAATAAAATCAGAATCTAAAATATATTAAGTGTATAAATAACTAATTAAACTAATTTGAATTTTATTATAAAATGATGACGATGTCAAAACATTAACAGATGTTGAAACATTAAATAGATGAATAAACAAACTGCAGATTAATTAGGAAAATATTTGAAACAAATAAAGTAAATATAATCAATATGGAATAAATTAAAAATAATGTTTAAGAATCTTTAAAAACAACAGATAAATTAATAAAACACTTATTGTCTGTCATGTCCCACAGCATGATTCTGCCCCCTCCATGCTTGTTGCTATAGTTACTTTGTCTGGTTTGTTCAGGTGTCAAAGGTCAGCGGTTTGTTAGGCTAAAGCTAAAACTAGCCACGCTGCTGTTCAGGCGTCTCCATGACAACATATCGGGTCATACTGGTTCCAGTATCAGATCCAGACTGGAGGCCATTCAGACAAATGATGGATCAGAAAATTGATCAATAATCAAAACTATTGAAGTTCAGTTGATTGAGTCTGTGATGAGGAAACGGGTTGACCTGGTCCTGTTTGCAGGGGCAGACTTCCTGACCTGGCGGGGGACGCTCAGCGCCGTCAGTACGTCCTGCTTCCTGTTCCTCTGCAGCATCAGGTTCTGCCGGCCCGCCAAAGCTGACGGTTCTGGTTCTGGTTCAGGTCTGGAGCTGAGCACCAGCGGCGGTCGGCTCTGCCTCAGCATCGAAGCCAGCGCCGTGAGAACGCCACCACCCACGGTAGGAGGCCCTGAGGGGGGCAGTGGACCGACCGGAACCAGAACCTGAACCTGTCTGTGTCTCTGTCTCAGCTGGACGACCTCGGGCTGCCGGCGCCGGTCCTCCAGAGGTTCTGCAGCGACCCGGACTTCATCCTGGACCCGTCCTCCACTGGGGGGCCCATTTGGTGCCACGTCCTGCCCAGGTGGGCCGGCGCCGCCTGCTGGACAGTCCTGGAGCTGACGGCGCGTCAGAACCAGGACAAGAACCTAATCGCTTTATTATGAGGATCAATAAGAAACTAATCACTTTATTAATAATAAATCACTTTATTATGAGGATAAAGTCAGAATATAAGAGAAAAAACTCAAAGTTTCAAGGAAAATCCTGATTTAATGAGTAAAACCTGGAACAGTTTCTCCGTCTGGCTTTCTAAGCCAAGTAAACTCAGTCCGGCTGATGCTGGGCGCCTTCATTCTCACTTTATTTAAACGTTGCCAGGATTAATAATTTTCAATTTATTTAGACATTTTTGATGTAAAATTGTTTTCTTATGTATTAGAACTTTTTTCTAGTAATGTGAGTTTTGAACTATTATGACTTTATCCTCCATTTAGTTTGACTTTTATCTTGTAATAAGGCCTGTCGCGATAAACGATAAATCAATTAATTGCACGATAAATTAAACATATCGACTTCATTTTAATTATCAGCTTTATCGTCTCTTCCTCCCTTTTTCTTTGCTGA